TGTGGCCTTAGTACCCAATAATGTTCCACCTTCCCACCGATCATAATTATGTCTTACATGTATCCAAATCCTATTGTACAAAACACTCAAATTACAGTTCTCATTATGCTTAATTCTTTTGATATTTGATGTAGGCATCATTGTCACCTTTGACCGTATCTTTTACACAGAAAAATCCCTTGGTGCAAGCAGACCATTGGCAAGCATGATGAAGAATATCTCCATGACATGCATTCTTGTCCTCTTCCTACTACTATTTGATACTGCATGTACTGTGAGGATTGATGAATGGCTCCACAATGTATGAAAGCCATGAAACAACGTCTGAAACAATTGTATTCCTGTAGCAACGTTTTAGCAATGTTATTTATTGTTATGTCCTTGGTTTTAGTAACTTACGCGCCGCTGCAACTGGTTTGGTGGTTATAATTTGCTCACTGAAAGCTGGCTTCCCCATGTTTATTACTTGTACCATGCTGTTTTTCTACCTTCATGTTTGTACCACTTCAGTGGAACAACACGCCCTTTAACACAACTATGTTGACTCCACATAATCGGTCACACATATTGTCCCATGTACAACTGTCGAGCAAATAAAGTTCATTCATTCATAGGACGTATGCTCACACTTGGACGCTAATAATCACACAATGTCCTCGGTTGGAAAATCAGAAAATCAATTGATCTGGTCAGACTACTATCCAGGCAGAGGTTTGGGGTTAATTTTGGCGTGTTTTAAACTTTTAAACCTTTTAAACCTCTACTTGGAGTCTATAGTCAGACTGCTCCCGAACAACACGCCCCAATCACGCGGGATTTATAGCCGGCAGATAACACAAGTCAGCGTATGACCGAGTATGTTTATAACCCGGAAGGTGCCTGTTCAAAACGGTATATGCATAGCTTTAGCCTGATGCGTGGAGGGAAAGGTCAGGTCGTCGTTTTCTAAAGTGTGTGCTTGCAAGTTGCACGGGTATTCAGCGACGTAGGTCCGTAAATAGACACTGCCCTGTCAACGGACTTTGGTGGTAGAATCTATCGGCACAGAAGCGAAGCCCGTAGAAAAATACGGTCCCACCCGCTAGCCTCACCAAAGCTGTCTTCCTTATAAGCGGTGGACTCTAAGAGCCTATCGGTACAGAAGTGAAGTCAGGCCGTGAAAAGAGACGGTCCCGCCCGATAGCCTCACCAAGGCTGATGCTCTGCAAACTACACAACTACAGCAACTACGCGTAGACAAAAAGCATTTCATATAAATATATCTCAGGCCGTGAAAAAGACGGACCCGCCCGCTAGCCTCGCCAAGACAAGACAAGACCTGCATGATACTCCAACTACAGCAACTACACGTAGTGAGAAAGCCTTTCATACAATCATGGAGGTAGAAATCTACCTCCATGATACAATAGACCGTTACTCAAGGCGGTGGACTAAGGTGCTTGTCGGCAAAGAAGCGATCTCTGGCCGTGAAAAAATACGGTCCCGCCCGCTAGCCTCGCCAAGACAAGACCTGATACCCCAACTACAGCAACTACAGCAACTACGCGTAGTAAGACAGCCTTTCATACAATATACCTTTTCTTAAGGCGGTGGACTCAGGTGCCTATCGGCACAGAAGCGATCTCTGGCCGTGAAAAGACAGACCCGCCCGCTAGTCTCGCCAAGACAAGACCTGATACCCCAACTACAGGAACTACAGCAACTACGCGTAGTAAGAAACCTTTCATACAATATTCCTTTTCTGAAGGCGGTGGACTCAGGTGCCTATCGGCACAGAAGCGATGTCAAGCCGTGAAAAAAGACGGTCCCGCCCGCTAGCCTTTCCAAGACAAGACCTGATACCCCAACTACAGCAACTACAGGAACTACAGCAACTACGCGTAGTAAGAAAGCCTTTCATACAATATACCTTTCCTCAAGGCGGTGGACTGTAGATGTCTATCGGCACAGAAGCGATCTCTGGCCGTGAAAAAGACAGACCCGCCCGATAGTCTCGCCAAGACAAGACCTGATACTCCAACTACAGCAACTACAGCAACTACGCGTAGTTAGAAAGCCTTTCATATAATATACCTTTCCTCAAGACGATGGACTATAGGTGCCTATCGGCAAAGACGCGATGTCAAGCCGTGAAAAAAAGCAGACCCCGCCGCTAGCCCTCGCAAAGACAAGACCTGATACTCCAACTACAGCAACTACAGGAACTACGCGTAGTTAGAAAGCTTTTATATAATATACCTTTCCTCAAGGCGGTGGACTGTAGGTGCCTATCGGCACAGAAGCGTCCTGGCCGTAGCCTCGCCAAGACAAGACCTGATACCCACTACAGCAACTACAGGAACTACAGAAACTACGCGTAGTAAGAAGCCTTAGTCATACAATATACCTTTCCTCAAGGCGGTGGACTGTAGGTGCCTATCGGCACAGAAGCGATCTCTGGCCGTGAAAAAGACAGACCCGCCCGCTAGCCTCGCCAAGACAAGACCTGATACCCCAACTACAGCAACTACAGTAACTACGCGTAGTTAGAAAGCTTTTATGTAATAGGCCTTTCCTCAAGCTGCAAGGCGGTGGACTATAGGTGCCTATCGGAAAAGAAGTGATCTCTGGCCGTGAAAAAGACAT